TACCTTAACCTTTAATGATCTTGTGAGAGGCCGTGGCACAATGGGTAACTAAGCTTTGTTGCTGGCTTCTCACTGTCCCATGGGCATAGGGTGATTTATGGGCAATGATTGGCCTACTCCTAAAGGTGGCTCATTCTACCTCTGCAAAAATGAATAAGCACTGGATTTGGAGTCAAAAGATCCTGACTGCGATGCAGAATAAATGTAACATTGGACAAATCACTTAATTCACAGGACTTGAATTTCTTCATCTATGTGATGACCAGGTTGGGCTGGGCTAGATCATTTCAAAATTTCTATAGCTCATAGAATCATAGACTTAGGGCTGAAGGAGACCTTAAATTCCAGCTAGTCCAACCAGCTCATTTTACAGATGAAGAGACTGAGGTCCAGAGAATTTAAGTGACTTAATAGCTAGGTAGCATAGAAGAGAGCTTAGAATTAGAATCAGGAAGTCCTGAGTTCTTACTTGGATTCAGATTCTTACTAGCTGTGTGACCCTGGGCAAGTCACTAAATCTCTCCATGCCTTAGTTTTCACATCTATAAAATGGGGATGACAATAGCACCTACTCCACAGGTTGTTGAGGAAACAGGGTGGCCCAGTGGATAGAGTGCTGGGCCTGGAGTCAGGAAGGGCTGCATTCAAATCAGGTCTTTGCCCAGGTTGTGGGGTGAGAACACCCATTTATCCTATAGTTGATAACAGGTTCATACCTGAGCGACCCTAGCCCCTTTCAGTCAGGGTAGCTAGGTGGCACAGTGGATAGAGTGCTAGTCCTGGAGTTAGGAAGACTCATCTTCATGAGTTCAAATCTGGCCTCATACACTAACTGTGCGACCCTGGGCAAGTCACTTCACCCTGTTTGCCTCAGTTTCCTCATCTGTAAAATGAGCTGGAGAAAGAAATGGCAAACCACTGTAGTATCTTTGCCAAAAAAAACCCAAATGGAGTCATGAAGAGTCAGACATGACTGAAAAAAAGACTACACTATAAGCAAAGGGTTGTTGTGAGGATAAAGTGAGAGAATATTTCTAAAGCACTTTGCAAACTTAAACACCATATAAATGTTAGCTATTCTTCTCATTATTATTCCTCAAAGCCACACAGCTAGTCAGTAGCAGAACTGGAATTTGAACCCAAGTCCTCAGACTCTAAATCCAACATCCTTTCTACTTAATCACACTGCCTCTAGTCCTTAGCTCTTACAAACATATATTCTTGAGCACCAGCTAGATTTCATAGCTCTTGCTCCACACCTGTCTTTTAGCCGTATCAATTCGCTTGTGCTATCTTTGGGAGTATAGGGAAATGTTATCACCCATTTAACAGAAACTCCCACTTACATCCTCTTCCAAAGTCACCTCACAGCATGGTGGTGACTCTGGACTCTTGAAGGCTGTGTCAGGGGAGGGCAGGCCCTGGGAGGTTCTACCAAACTTGGAAAGGACTCAAGCACACACCTAGTAGCAAAATGTCTCTTGTAAAAGAAACAGCCTTCTTAAGTTTTAACAGGCTCATAAGCAGAAGGAGGCTAAGGGATTAAATTTCTATTAATTATTTTATTAATACTAAAATCAACCAGTAAATTTTAAATGATTAATTTGTGTCATATAATTAATTCTATTTCATTATATTTAATTTTATTAAATTTATTAATCCACTCTAGCTCTTAAAGCTATCTACTGAAGTGTGGCATTGTTATGAACTGTATCCATGGAGGGAGTACAGACACTTAAGAAGACATAGATTCTTGAAGCGGCTGTATGCTTGATTTCTCACAGCCTCACTTTACTCATTTGCTTTGGAGTAAGGGCTTTGGACTTGGCCTCTGAGATTCTTTTTAGCTCTATATCTATTATCCTGTGTTCAATTATCTAATGGAAGATAAGATTTTCTTTAAAACAAATAACACTGAACCTTAGTTTCCTTTTCTGCAAAATGAGAGGACTGGATGAGATGATGTTTTTCCATTTTAAGACCTTTTCAATTTGTGGCTCTCAAGTTTTGAGACTCTACATCTAAACTGTCCTACCATCTACAGACAAATAATTGAACAGACTTGAACAATACAAGGTGTCCCAAAAGTCTTAGTGCCATTTTAAAGTTAAAACTTTAAGTTTAAAATGGCACTAAGACTTTTGGAACACCACAAACAAACTTTTAAACTTAAAAATTTAAGTTTAAAATGGCATTAAGACTTTTGGGACACCCTGTATTATGTTAACACAAATTAAGTGTAAACTTTAATAGTTTAAGATTGCATTAAGGATTTTAGACCTTGTATTTTAGGTGCTTGACTCCTGGAGATACCAACAAGATGAGTGCTTTCCTCCTTGGCCCTTGCAAAAGTCTTTCATCATTGTGTTTTATACACCTTGACTCTCCCTAACCTTTCTTTTTGCAAGCTACTCCTCCTTCTGATCTCTTCTCCAGTTTGTGCTGCTGCCTGGTGGGATGACCAACTTTGTCATAGTTATATATATTGATTTGCAGCTGAAAAGTAAAAGTAAGCCAAGCCAACTATTACTATTGAAATGGGATTCTGTTTTGTGTGTGGAAGATGTGGTCTTGACCTCTCCAGAGTGAACCTCAGTGAAGGTTGACCCCTGGTTTGACATCGCCTGCTATTGTTCAGTAGGTTTCCCTGGTGACCTTCAAGCTCGTCTTCCCAAATTTCCTTAAAATTGATTACCTTGCACAGTTCTATCCCACTTAAATCCAATTTATGAGTAAGTCAAGACATCACTCTTGTAACATCATTGGTCCTCTTTGAGAATAAAGAAAACAGGCTACTCCCTTCGCTCTCACTCTGACTCCCTCAATATTTTCCCCTCCCTGCCCATCTAGTTTCTCTTTTTCTTGCACAATCAGATAATATTCTCCCATTAAGATATGAAGATTTTCCATCTTTTGACTGTTCCCAGGCTTGGATTCTAGTTTTGGACAACCTCTCTGTACCTCAATTTCTCTATCTGCAAAACATGCATAATAATACCTGCCCTATCTACCCAAATGAAATGTTGTGAAGATAAAACAAGATAAAGGACTAGGAAGTGTTTTTGAAGGAAAAAAAAGGCACTATACCTGCTAGCCTCCCCTCAGCTTGATTCTCCTTCAAATAGGAATGTGTGTGTGTGTGTGTGTGTGTGTTGGGGAGGAGCAGGTATAACAGTAAATAATAGGAAGGACATATAGAGGCCTTAAAGGGTTTTTTGTTTGTTTGTTTGTTTTTATTTCCACACCATTGTTCAGCTGGTAGACTTTAGGTCACTGTAGGATCAACACACATTTATTAAGCACTCAGCACATGCCAGGCACTGTGCTAAGCACTAGAGATACAAAGAAAGGTAAAAACAGCCTCTACTTTCAAGGGCTCACATTCTAATAAGTGAGACAACATGCAAACATCTACATACATACAAGATACAGACAGGGTAGATGGAAGGTGATTTCAGAGAGAAGGGACTAGGGTGTGGTGGCCCAGGAAAGGCTTTTTGCAGAAGCTGGGATTGAGCTGGTCTTGAAGGAAGCTAGGGAATCCAGGTGTGAGGATTGAGAGGAGTGCAGGCATGAGGGACATCAAGGGAAAAGGGAAGGAGATAGGAGAAGGGAGATGGAGTGGTGTTTGAGGAATAGTAAGAAAGCCAGTGTTGCTGGTTCATAAAGTACTTGGAGGGGAATGAAGTATAAGAAGACTGGAGGAAGGTAGGTGCAGCCAGGTTATGAGGGGCTTTAAGAGTCAAACGTCATTTTTTATTTGATCCTGGAAGTAAAAGGGAGCTATTGGAGATTACTAAGGAGGAAAATGATGTAGTTAGACATGTACTTTGGAATCACAGGATTTAGAGCTGGAAGGACCTTAAGAATCAGCTAGCTCAACCCTTCAGATTACATAGGAAGAAATGGAATCTCAGAAAGGAGAAATGACTTGTTCAAAATCACACTGCTAGGAAGGTGTAGAGCTAGTAATTCATTCTTTCCTGGTCCAGGTATAAACTTGGATTTGGGAAAGAGGTGGAAGGGATTTCTTGATAATAATAGATCACCTTTATAAAGTGCTTTGCAGTTGTTTAGCACTGACTCCTCCTAATAACTCTGTGAAGTAGAAAATGCAATCATTATCCATCTTTTACAGGTGAGGAAACTGAGGAATTAATCAGTCAGTCGACTAGCATTTATTTATCAGGCATCTACTATTTGCCAGGCTCTGTGCTAATAAGTACTGCAGGTACAAAGAAAGGCAAAAAAGAGTCCCTGCTCTCACAGAACTTATGTTCTAAAGGGAGAGAAAACATACCAACAGCTATGTACAAGATATAAACAGGGTAAATAGGAGATAATCAGCAGAAGGAAGGCATTTAGGGGAACTGAGAAAGGCTTCTTGCAGAAGGTGGGACATCGGCTGAGACCTGAAGGAAGCTAGAGGGGGAGGGGAGGAGGGAGAGTATTCCAGGCATGAAAATACTCAGAATCAGAAGATGGAGGGCCTTGTTCAAGAGGTCAGTGTCTCAGGATTGAAGAGTATATGGGGGTATAAGGTATAAGAAGACTGGAAAGTTAGGAAGGGGCCAATCCGTCAAGAAGCATTTTTTAAGTACCTAGCATGTTCTAGGCACTGTGCTAAATGTTGGATATACAAAGAAAGGCCAAAAAAAAAAAAGCAGTTTCTACTCTCAAGGAGTATACATTTTAATATGTGAGACAGCTTGCACATAGCTAGGTACATAAAAAACTAGAGTAGATGAAAGGAATCTGAAGAGAGGTGAAATGTGAAGCACAAAGACATTAAAAGCTGGAGGACTAGGAAAGGCCTCCTGCAGAGGATGGAATTTGAGCAGATTACATAATTTGCCCAAAGTCAAACAGAGGAAGTGAACTTGAAGTCACTGGGACCAAGATTAAAATCCTGCCTTAGTCATTTACTACCTGTGTGACCTTGGGCAAGCCAAAGCTTTACTAAGCCTCAGTTTCCCCATCTGTAAAATAAGGGGGTTGGACTAAAGGGCCTCTTATTTCTCCTCTAATTCTAGATCTCTGATAGTATGGTACATGCGTCTATGAATTTAGTGTCTTTCCCACTACACTGTCCTGTCTTCCTGGCCTATCCCTTCCATTCCAAAGAGTGTATACGAGCATTTATGGCTGAAAATAAAGGAGAGACTGGAGCTTATTATGTAAGCAAGATTGTGAAAATGTTCATTTTATGTCCCACACCCCCAGAATATTAAAACAGAAACAACTCTTGAAGGCGAAAGCTACATGGAGCAAGCTCAGTCACAGATACACACTCATTGAATTTACATCTGAGACTGGTTCTCCTCCAAACCAATCGTGGTGTCTGTAACACATCCTGGACATAAGCATAGACAGTAGTATAAAGGGTTGCTGGCCAGCGTTTTAAGACTTTCCAAATTAGCAGCAGCAAGGAAGAGATCCAATGGTTTTATAAATAAGAAGCATTCATACATGCTTTATTTCAAACACTGAAAATACTTTACATGGCCAGGCTATCCTGGCATTCTGCCTTTTCCTTGGGTCATGCCACACCTGAAATCCTCTGAATCCATAGTCAAGTTCTCATTGAACCATCTAAGGCCATCAGTTTTCTTCCAGGACAGATATTTAACATATGTCATTTAATATACCCACACACAGGTATACACACACACACACACACACACATATATACATACACACCACAGAGGAGGAGGAAACTCAACGCCTTGTTGGTTATCCCCTGTTGGCACTGTGGTAGAAGAACAGAAACTGGTTTTCAAAAGAAGCAGTGCTATATCTCAGAATCCTAGAGCTGGAAGAGACCTCAGAGACCAGCTGGGCCAACCTCTATCTGGGCAGGAATCTCCTGCAAGTGGTCACTCATCCAACCTCTACTTGAAGACCTCAAGTGATAAGGACCCCACTACTGTCCAAAGCAGCCCACTCCATTTCTGGCCAGCTCTAAATGTTAGGGAATTTTCCCCTATACACCAAGCAGCATGAAAAAGCAGTTTCATTGCTCTGATTAAACCCCCAAAAGAGCATGACTTTGGGGGTTTTTTCAGTTGCCAGTCCTGCAACTTAAATGATTCAACCTAAGTTTATGATTCTAAAGACATGAATGTCTTATATCTACTTGATTCTCCTTATATCTCCAGAGGGAAAGAGCTATCTATGGACAACAATGCATCATAGTTTCCTCCAACAATTAGATGATGTACTTTAATGAAGCCATCTCTCTGAATCCTCTCTGGATCAGCAGCTGTCTTTCACTCTAGGAATGGATTTTTTTTTCTGTGATGGCACTGCCCCCTCCGCTGATGATAAATCCCCTTGAGTTAGATACAACAAGGCCTGGGGACATCTCTTCGGGGATCTGGGTGTCTGGCTGGCTATCACCTACCACGGACTCCTCGGAGCCCAAGACCCCGCTGCCCAGTCCTGATCCAGCTTCGCTGCTCTGAAGGGGGACTAAGGCTTGGCGTCGTGCCAGGCTGTCACCACTACTCTGGGCCTCTAGAGAGTTCTGCTGCTTGGTCACCTTGTGGGACATAGCATTCTTCTGTGGTTCATCGAAGCTCAGAGAAAAGGTGACCGTCCCACTGCCAAAGATCACTTTCTGCTTACAGCGGTGCTGCTGCTGCTGCTGTGGCCGCTGCTGCTGAGGGGTCAAGGTTTGCTGCTGCTGCTGTTCCTTCTCCCTCTCAGGCTGTGGGAAGGGGTCCTCAGAGTTGCTCTTACTGCTCATGGAAGAGGACGGGGTAGACCCAGTGGAGCCCCCGAGGCTGTTGGATCGCTTCCTGGAGACATTGCTGCGGCGTAAAGTGGCCCGGGCGGCCACCTTGAAAGCATGGGCAGCAGTGCTGCAGCGCACCTCCTCGATAGTATTCCGAGAGGGCTTGAAGAGGATGATGTAGACCTTGTTGAAGAAGATGCAGGCCAGCAACCCGAAGCTGGCCGCAAGGATAGCGATCACCTCCACAGCGGAGACGAACTTGCCATAGGTGCTGGCGTAGGCAGGGATGAAGGAGATCCAGACGATGAAGAAGATGAGCATGCTGAACGTGATGAACTTGGCTTCGTTGAAGTTCTCTGGCAGCTTCCTGGACTTGAATGCAAAAAAGAAGCAGATGGCAGCCAGAAGGCAGGTGTAGCCAATCAGGAAGCCGAGGGCCATAAGGGAGCCTTCGTGGCACGTGACAAAGATGATTTCATCTTCTAGCTCGTAGTTCCGGTAGCTGGAAGGGGGTGCATTGTAGAGCCAAATGACACATATGACAATCTGCATGAAAGTGCAGAGGAAAACGAGGAGAAACTGTAGGTTGAGACCCCACCACTTGCGGTGGAGGCTGGTGGGAATCTTAGCCTCAAATACCAAAAGGATCCGATTGGTTTTCACCAAGATGCAGGAGATGCATAATACAAAGCTGATCCCGAAGGCTGGCTGGCGCAGACAACACGTCCAGTCCTGGGGCTCGCCAATGAAGAACAAGGAGCTGGAGAAACAGCAAATCAAGGAAAAGAGAAGGAGGTAGGAGAGCTCCCGGTTGGTTGCCTTGACGATGGGTGTATTTCGGAACTTGATGAAGACTCCAAGTACAAAAGAAGTTAGGAAGATACCCAGAACTGCAAAAAGGGTGAGTGCAATTCCGAATGGCTCTGTCCAAGAAAGAAATTCGATCTGCTTAGCAATGCAAGAAGTGTGATTCTCATTGGACCACGAGTCATCAGGACACTTGTCACACGCACTTGCATCTGTAAAACATCATTGGATAGAATTAATTTGCAGCATAGAAGACAACTTTACTGGACAGAACCACCCTTGGAAAATGAAGTATTTGGAAGCAGTACCTGTGTTTTATAAGAGAAACTTAGCCCTCGCTCACCTTGGATAAAATGTTGGGGTCTGTAGAAATTCTAGTTAGTGAGCTCTTGGCAAGAGTGTACTGTGATACACAGGGGCATTGGCTTATAGAGAATTGGATAACAGATGCAGAACTGGAAGGAATCTCCAACCCATTTATTTTACAGATGAGGAAACAGATGAGGAAGTACAGTGGGGTTAATCAATCAACCATAGGATCACAGATTTAGAATTGGAAAGGACTTTAAAAGCCTTTAAGACCAACTCCCTCATTTTACAGATGAAGAAGAAAAGTTAACAGAAGTTAAATGAGTTGACTACAGTCACACAACTAGTTAAGTGTCTGAAGCAGGATACAGACTCAGGTCTGCCTGACTCCAAGGCCAGCTCCCTATCCATTAAGTCACTTGGATAGATTTAGAGATCAAAGAGATCTCAAAAGCCAGCTAGTCCAATCTCCCCATTTTACAGATGAGAAAACTGATTCTAACAAAGGTTAAGTGACTTTCTAATGATGGCCACACATCTGGTGCCAGGGGTCCTCTGAATTAAGGTCCTTTTACTCCAGGATTAATGTTCTTTCAACTGTACCAAGCTACCTCCTGAAGGAGTTGTTTACTTTCCTCCTGCTTCTCTCCTGGACTGTATTTCCCACAAGTGTTTGAGGTCAGAGAACCCTAGAGTTGTCTTCAGATGGAGGATGGAAAAGGCATAGATACGTATGGACTTAGAACTTTGAGGGGAGGATGGACAGAAGCACATATGTGAATTGCAGGCGAGCCTGGAAAATGTGGGAATTTTCATTTTCACTCCTTGACACTGACCATACCATAGAAGTGTATATTAGTGTGAGGGGAAAAGACAAAACCAAAATGATGAAGGAAGAGCTGGGGGAACCATATTTCCCTACCCTTGTACTCTACTGCCCCATCCTCACTCTTTCAGGAGCATTACTATCCAAATTACAGCATGTTTTGTAATGGTTCTTTCAGCTTCTCTAATTCACTTTCTTTGTAATGTACTGAAAACATTTAATTATTTAAATATATATTATATATATGTATATATATATTTTTTTTTCTTTTTTCAATTAGCAAAAATCTGCCTTCTTTCTCTCACGTGTCAACACCTTCTCCCCCTCCCCCCTCTACCCTCCCCTCCCACCTCAATTGAGACCAAAAAAAACCAACCCCAAAATCCCTGTTATAAGCATGTATAGTAAAGCAAACCATATTTTTCACATTGGCTATGTCAAAAAAAAATGTATCTCCTTCTGTACTTTCACTCCTTTACCTCTGCATCAGGAAGTATGCAGCATGTTTCATCATGAGTCCTCTGAAGCTATGGTTGATCATTCTCTCCTGTCCTGTCCTCTCCTTTCCCTTACCTGAGGGTGTTCTGCCCAAAGGAAGATAAATTTTGATGACCAAAAGCTGCCCAGTTCACTTGGGGTTTACTGGTCAGATCTCTCTCTCTCTCAAAGACCAAACCTTAAACCCAATTCACTCTGGATCTCATAGATTGGACCACAATTGGTCCCTGTCTACGCACACTTAATGGTTTTTTTGGGGGCCCTCCTGTTTCAGAGTGAATGTACATAGTAATCGTTTCTCTTTCAGCCAGCAACCCCGAGGCCTCCTCTTTCCCTCCTAGATTTTTTTTTTTTATTAAAGGGGCCATCCCTTGACTCTCTTCTTAAAGAGGCCTATTCACTGAATGGGCATTGCCTTACTCAAAGAATTTAAAAAGACCTTAGCTTAAAAGGGCCAAGGTCTCTCATTGCATCCTGGGCCATCTCCAGTCATCCTGATCTATATCTGACCACTGGACATAGATAGCTCTGGAGGAGAAAGTGAGGCTGGTGACCTTGCACAGCCCTCCCTCACTCAAATCAAAGTCAATTGCAAGTCATGTCATCATCTCCCTGATGTCATGGTCTTCTTCGAGAATGGAGGACAAACACAACACAGCCTGTGATCAGAGTTCTGAATTCTTTCAGTTGTTGGCCTTTATTGTATTGTTGTCATTGTATAAATTGTTCTCTTGGTTCTCTTCACTTCAATCTTCAACTGTTCGTACAAGTTTTCCAAGGTTTCTGTGAAACCATCCCTTCATCAATTCTTACAGCACAGTAGTATTCCATTACATTTATATACCATAACTTGTTCAGACATTTCCTAATTTATGGATACTCTCTTGGAGTCCCATTCTTTGCCACCTCAAAAAGAGCTATAAATTCTTTGTACAGTTTTAGGCAGAATTTGTTCTGATTAGGATTAATCCTTCCCTTAACCTCCTTATTCCCTTTCCTTATTTCCCTGTTGACTGAAATGTACTTCTGTACCTACCTATGTGTGTGTTTGTATGTGCATGTGTGTATTTTTCTTTCCTTTGACCAGTTCAAGTGAGAGTGAAGTTGCAGTGTCAATTGCTACCTCCATTTTCTTCCTAGTTCGTATAGATGTCTACATGTACAATCTGATTATACGAGATATTTTCCCCCAACCTTCCTTCCCCTCTCCCCTTATGTATTCTCTTTTCTTTCCATTCTTCTCTTAAGATCATCAGGGTATAACAAATGCTCCCGGGTCTTCTGTCTAATTAGATACTGTCTATGACCCCTGATGAGGATAAGGTTCAGAGGGAAAACATATATTATCTCCCAAAATTTGAATGTAAACAGTTTCTTTGTTTGGGTCCTTTTGATTGTTTATATTTACCTGTTACTGTTTCTCTCACCTCCTATGTTTGAACTTTTTATACAGCTCTGGACTTTTCATCAAGAATACTTGGAAGTTCTCTATTTCATTAAAGATTCATTTTTCCCCTCTAGGTTTATACTCAGTTTTGTGGCATAAATTATTCTTGACCATAAACCTATATGTTTTGCCTTCTGTAATATTGAATTCCAAGTTCTCCATTTCTTTATGGTGGTGGCTTCTAAATCACGAGTGATTCTTACTAAGGCTCCTCAGTACTTGAATTCTTTCAGGTTGCTTGCAATAGTTTTTTCTTTGGCCTAGAATCTCTGGACTTTGGCTATGATGTCTGTAGAAGTTTTCATTTCTTTAGGAGGTGATCATTTATTCTTTCTATTTTCTAATTTGCCCTCTGCTTCTAAGAGTAAAGTAACTCTGGCCAGTGTTACTTTAAGATTTCTTGAAATAGGATATCTAGGCTCTATTTTTGGTTCTGTCATTCCAGTAGTCAAATCATCCTTAAATTTTCTCCTCCTCAATCTGTTTTCCAGATTAGTTGTTTTCTTTTGCTATGAAATATCTTATATTTTCTTCCATTTTTTCAGGCTTTTGATTTTGTTTTTAATATTTCTCATGGAGTCATTGGCTTCTATTTGAAATTTCAAGGATTTTGTTGCTTGGGCAAGATTCTGTATCTCTTGTGCCAGGGTGTTAATTCTCTTTCCAATTCTTTATTTCATAGCTCTCATTTCTTTTCCTTTTTTTTCTTTAGCTATTATTTCATTATTAAAAATATTTTAACTCTCTTAAAGAAAACTCTTGCTTTATCTCTTCCAGGAGTTCAAGTTGAATTTATGCCTGAGTTCTTATTTTTCTCTCTGAGGCTTTGCTTGTAGATGTTAGGAGTCACTCCCTCCTTCTCTGTTTATGTCTTGAGCTTCCCTGGCACCATGATAGCTCTTTATAGTGGGTTCCTTTTTTGTTTGCTCATTTTTCCAGTCTACTTCCTGATTTTAAACTTGATGTTAGCACTGGGTACTGCCACATTTCTGAAGGGAGGATCTAGGCTGGTCCTGTTTCTGCTTTCTGGGGGTACTGAGTGATGTGTTATTCCAGGATCTCAGGTACAGGTTGGGGACCTGTGAACTTTCAATACTTCTAAAGTGGTCTTATCCAGGGCAAAGAATGATTGCTGCTCCCTTGTCTGTCAAGCTTCTAAATTGGATTTGGGTCTGAGCAAGATTGTTGCTGGGCTCCACCCCTATAAGCCACCTGGGAAGTTCTGCTGTTTCAGAGTAACATAACTGTAGGCTCCTTTTGGTCTAGGATTCCTGCTTGGGGTATACATTTGTAGGTATCAGAGTGGGCTAGATGCTAGAACTATGACCGTACTCCGCTCCTGTGTTTGGAGCCACATTGATGCTGCTTGCTTCTGAACTTCCACCTTTCTTTGTATTCCTACCTGGGAATCTCACCCTGTGGGGAAGGTCCACTTCTTGGTTCACCCTGGATCTGTAACTCACAGCTCAGTAGTATGAGCCAAAGCTGCCAGGTGGCACTTGTTCTCCCACCCCTGCAGCGCCCTGGTATGAATCTGGGACCTCATCTTGTCCCTGTTCACAGCCTCTTCCTGGGCACCAGAGTGCTCCTGGCTAGACCCATTCCCAGATCTATACAGTCTATCTCCAAATGCCAACCTGGTCTGGAAAAATTATTCCAGTGACATTTTCTGGATTTTTTTTTATCAGGATTTGGTCTGGTACATTTTCTAAATCGGAGTGGAGTTTTTGTTTTTGTTTTTAGCTTGCTCACTATTTTCTACTGCTCTGCCATCTTGGCTCTGCCTCCCTTCCTTTTTTTTTTTTTTAAGGCTATTGGGGTTAAGTTAATTGGCCAGGGTCACACAGCTAGTAGGTGTCAAGTGTTTGGTCTGAGGCTAGATTTGAACTCAGGTCCTCCTGCTCTATCCACTGTGCCACCTAGCTGCCCCCTCCCTTACTTCTTTTTAAAACATTGATTTCTGTTTTATAAATAGCCAAAATGAACTAGGAACTGCTTCCATTATAATCTGATCTATTTCTTAGTTTACTGCCTGAAGACTTTAATACAACACTTCACAGACTCACAGATTTAGAGCTGGAAGGGACCTTGGAGGTCATCAAGCCATACCCCATCTAACACATGAAGAAACAGAGGCCCAAAGAGGTTAAATGAGTTGCCCAAGGCCACACAATTGGTAAATGTTCTGAGGCAGGATTTGAAACCAGGTCTTTAGTTGCAAGTAGATTTAGCAAAAATTGTATCTGGCCTATGAAATCTTGTCAAACCATGTCTAGTGATGCTTGCTTCAATACTTCTAAAGATTGATGATACCACCAATGCAGAATGTAACCCATATGGACCTTAGTACATGGTTTTCTGGGTTTCCTTGGCCCCACCCCACCATGTGGCCAGCCTTGTGGTGATGAATTTCTTCTCTCTTAGACTGGTTGGTCTTTGGGAGATAGTTGGTCACCTCACCCATAATCAAAGCCTTTCCATCTTGGTGGAACCTGTTGGAGTTCATAGTAAGCACTTAATAAATACTGAATTGAAATGAAAGTCGATCTTGAATCACCCAGGTTAGTATGAGGTGAAACCAATTACTAGAGGAAAAGAGTAGCTAGCTGATAATATGTTACTAGTGCTATCTATCTATCTATGCAGTTTTAATCCTTGTAATTATTATAACCACATGTCTTTAGGATTCACCCCCTCGGGGTAAGGGCTCAAATGAGCCAAGTGATTCAGTACTTTGAGGTATGAAAGTGACTGGATTTCTAGGGAAGGATATGAAAATGATCTCTATTCTCTATTCACTCTAGGGTTGATCTGTCAGCTTAACCTAGCCAAAGGTGGGGAAATAGGGATGGGCCCACATGGGAACACTGGTTTAGAACTAGAAAACTAAATAGTCTTGGTGGAAGTAACCATGGAGCGAAAAGTGAAGGACTGGAAGAAATGTGTGCTCAGGTCACGTAGCCACAAGCCAGGGGTAGTCAGTCTAATACCTCTTCTCTCCCACACTTTCCTTCAAAGCCTCTCAAACATTTCTCCATTTGCTGTAACTGATGGTTCCCCATATGGATGGGGTTGTGCTGGCTGGTAGAGCACCTGTGTTTTCTTGGTGTTAATTGTTAGGCCAAAATTCACACAAGCAGCAGAGAATTGATCCATACTTTGTTGCATCTCAGCTTCAGAGGTTTCACTGAATGCATAATCATCTGCAAACAAAAAAATCATGCACTAACTCTCCCTCTACTTTAGTCTCGCTTGTAGCCATTTCAAGTTGAATAACTTACCATCACTGTAGTAGCTGACCTTGATGCCATTTTCATCCTCATCGAAGGTGTCTGAAAATAGCATGCTAAAAAGCATGGGAGTAAACACATAGCCATGCATCACTCCATTGTGACTGGGAAAGCATGCAAGCATTATCCATTATCCAGAACCCATGTAAGCATGCCATCATGAAACTTGACACATATATTAAGTGGTTAAGAAATGCATTTTTATTCATTTACTCATTCATATGTGCAGTAGTCACTTAACATGTATTTGGTGATTCAATGAATCAGAGTACTATTCTGTTCCACCAAAGAGGCAGCAGGTATAGTACGTGGAGAACAGGCTGACCTTGGAGTCAAGAAGACCTGGGTGCAACAAAGACCTGCTTCTGATAACATGCTAGTTGTGTGACTATGGATAAGTCACAACTTTTGAGTGACCCCAGACAATTCTCTAAGGTTGTAAATCGCTGAGGTGGACAGATGGAGAGTGTTTACACATCACAAGAGTTCTTAGTTGATGAAATAAAAACTGAAACAATTCCACCCTGGTAATGGGCTTCATTTACTCTTGCTGGCCCCCAAGGCAATCCCTAGAGCGCTTTCATTCAAACCTTTAATCACGTAGGACAACATTCTTTCTGTTACCTGTTTCATCACTGTACTCGCCATCTGGACATTCCACACATTCAAAGCAACAGGTGGGCTCCCCTTCAATGATCCCTTTCCTGGTTCCTGCCAGACAGTCTCTGCTGCAGTTGGAAAATGGCACCTTATGGATGAAAAGAAACAAAATGAATTGCATTAGGCCAGGAAGGGGTTTGGTGCTGATTTAACTAAAAACAATTTTTTTCTGATGTATATTGGAGATTTTATTTCAAAATTTTTAATTTTTCAATGAATAATCTATTTCTTTCCTGACCATATTCTTCCCATCCCCCCATTACACACACACACACACACACACACACACACACACACACACACATTCACATACATACACATACACACAAACACATATTTCTTTGGTGCTGATTTTAAGAGTACACAGGATGACAGAGAATTGGTCTGGGAGTGGGGGTTGCACAGTGGCAGCACACACCAAAATATGATCAAGAAACCCACCTCACTTTGTGTCATTCCATAAATAGCTTTTTTGGTATTGTGCTGCTCTTGTAATAATTTTTGTTCAGTCATTTTAGTTGGGTCTGATTCTTCATGACCCTTTTTGGGAAAATTTTCTTAGCAAAGATACCTTAGTGGTTTGCCATTTCTTTTTCCAGCTTATTTTACAGATGAGGAAACTTAGGCAAAAAGGGTTAAGTGATTTGGCCAGGATCACACAGCTAACGAAGTATCTGAGGCTGGATTTGAACTCAGATCTTCCTGATTCTGACTGGTGCTCCAGGCCTGGTGCTCTATTCGTTGTGCCACTTAGCTGACCTTATAATAATTACAGCTAACATTTATGTAGCACTTTAAGGTTTGTAAAGAGCTTCACATAAATATTATCTTATTTGATCTTCATAATACTCCTGTGTGATTTATATTGCTATCACCCCCCTTTTATAGATGAGGAAACAGACTGAGAGAGGTTAAGTGATTTGCCCAGTTGTTGAAATACTCACTTCATCCTCCACTTTCTCCCCCCTCTCTCTCCCCCCTCAATTCTAGGTTGGTCTTGTGTGGTGACCTTGTCATTGTTTCAAGGTTTTATTTGTAACTTTATTGAAGAGTTAGTCTCTTCCTCTGAGTTAGTGTCTTGAGTGTTTCTGACTCTATAAAAGCTTATTTCCTGAAGCGGAACTTTGTATTAGGGGCAGCTTTCTGTACTTCTCGGATTTAGTGGCCATGTATGGTCCTGTTCTTCACTAGCTGGGGTTCTGCTATTCATTTCTCTAAGTACTGAGTGCTGTATTCTTAGAGGATCTCAGGGGCATTTCAGACCAGGGAGCTATAATCTTTTACTGGGCCCAAAGTGGCTGGCTCTTGGACTTGGTCTGAGCACTGCTGTCTTGGTCTGAGTTCTGTAGGCTCTCAACCTCAGTCTGGGTTTGAGCAATACCACTACAAGCTTGCCTCTGGTTAGGGTTCCAGTAGATGGCAATGTCCCTGCCCCCTGTCAACTAACTAGGAGACTCTATAGGTTCTGAGTAAGAGATCTGTAGGCTCACCAATGGTCCATAGCCTTTGCCCTGGTTACGCAGCTGTAGACTCATCCCAGGTCTGAGGGCTGAATCCAAGAGCTTGCTCTGGGATCAGGGTGACAGAGTGATAAGCTCACTACTGGTCTATAATCCCTGCCCTGGTTATTCAGTTGAAAGCCCCAGCCTCATTCTATGTTGACTTGGGGATGACAGGTCAAAATAACAAAGCTGACAACTTGTTCCTTATCCTTTCCCCTGCCTCATACACAGCCACAGACCCATGCTTAGTCCCCTTGTTGAAAGACTTTGCACAGACCTCTCAGACTTAACCTCCTTGCTAGTGCCTATAAGGCTTCTGTCTGTCTCTTGTTCTGAATGGGTTTTGAAAAATTATCCACTGTGGTTTCTTCTTGTATTTTCTCTTCAGTCCTCAATCTAGGGCAGCTAGGTGATGCAATGGATAGAGTGTCATGCCTGGAGTCAGGAAGACCTGACTTCAAATCCAGCCTCTGATACTTACTAGCTGTATGACCCTGGGTAAGTTGCTCAACCCTGTTTGACTCAGTTTCCTCATCTGTAAAAAAAAAACTGAAGGAAATGGCAAACCACTCTAGTATCTTTGCCAAAAATACCACCAAAGGGATCATGAACAGACAGATGTGATTGAAAATGACTAAACAACACAACTCAATCTGGTACCCTTTCTCAGTCTTTGTTGGGGGGAATACTGGACTTTCCTGCTTTCTCTTGTTCACAGCTATCTTTACCAGTCTCCTAAAGTTAGCTTTTCCTCCTGTCCACATGATGACTTAGGCCAACGCTGTTACCATGGCATAGTGTATGAACACTGGACTAGGAGTCAGAAGGCAGAGTTAAGGTCCCAGAGTTGCTACTGAGTAGTTGTGTGATCTGGTTTAGACCTAAAAGGGACCATAGAGGTCATTTAATCTACCATTGATTTTACAAATGAGTAAGGCAAAGGTCAATGACACAATAAGTAGTAGAGCCATGATTCAGAACATCTTTTGTTTACAAATCTAGTGCTATTCACATCTCTGGACATTAGGCTCCTTATTTATAAAATGAAATGGGAGGATATTGATAGATGCTCTTTAGGCTAATTGTGCAGCCAATTCTGCTCAATGATTTCAAAGGTACTTGCAGCTAAAAAAAATACATGATTTTACAAGCACATTGGATCAATGAAATGCTACATATACAATATGTTTGGATTCAAGAAAGGCTTTTGAAAAAATCTCACATGATTGCCTTATGGACAAGATGGAGAAATATGGGCTGAATGATAAAAAGGAGCTGGTTGAATATGTCTTCCAAATATTGCTGATAAAAAGGTTGGCCTGGAGGGAAACTTATAAAGGTATACTTCAGAGCCCTGCCTTCAGTCTTGTTCTGTTTGAACTTTTTATCCATTGAACAAGGGCACAGAAGGCATTCTTATCAAATTTGTTAAAATGCAAAATTGGAAGAGATAGCTAAAAGATGGAAGATGAAATCAAGATAACAAGCCCTGGAAAGTTAGAATGATGGGCTCAGTCTGAAAAGATAGGAATGAATCACAATAAATGCAAAGTTCTGTATTTGGGTCAACAAAAATAAATTTCACAAGCATGGGATGGAGAACACGTGGCTTAACAGCCACTCTCATCAAAAAGGCTGGGGAATTTGGGCTGATACAGATGCAATGAGTCAATGGTTTGATTGAAATGGCTGCTGAGAAAACTCACATAATTTTATGCTACATCAGTAGAAAAATGATTTCCAGAATGAGGGAAGTCTTAGCATCTTCTATTCTGTCCTGGTCTAGCCAATTAATAATAATCATTTTATCCTCAACAACAGAAGCAACTGATATCTGTATAGTGTTTTTAAAGTTTATAGATGCTATTCATACTTCATTTCATTTGAATCGCATAATGATCCTGTAAAATAGGTGCTATAGATATTATCTCCATTTTACAGAGGAAAAAACTGAGTCTCAGACAGGTTAAATGACTTGCTAATGGTCGCATAGTTAGTAAACATAAGAGGCACTAAGAGTACTTCATTCATTGTTGTCCAGTCATTCAGTTGTGTCTAACTCTTCATGACTCCATGGATTTTTATCCATGAGATTTTCTTGGTAAAGATACTGGATTGGTTTCCCATTTCCTTCTCCAGTGTGTCACAATTTTACATATTAAGAACAAAAGCAAATAGGGGTTAAGTTACTTGCCCAGGGTCACACAGCTAGGAAGTGTCTGAGGCCACATTTAAACTCAGATCTTCCTAACTCCAGGGTGGTACTTTATCCACTGCATCACCTAGCTGCCCTTCATTTGGGTTTGTGCACTACTAATTAGGAAAGACATTGACAAGCTGGAGTAGGCAAGAAGAGCACAACTAGACTTGTAAGAGGTCCCCAAATCATGCTATTTGAGAAACAGTTGAAAGAATTGGGAATATTTAGCATAGAAAAGAGAAGGCTAGGGAATAATAAGTTTCATATAGTGGAAGGCCTACAATCTGGAGAGGGATTAGACTTATTCTGTGTGGTTTTAGAAGGCAGAAGAGTAGAAGTGACAGAGTTAAATTCAAGGTTAGGGAGAACATTCTAACAATTAGAGCTGTCTGACAATGAAATGAGTTTCCTTTTAAAGTAGCTCTCTGTCACTAGAGATGTGCAAGCGGAGAGGTGACCGATCAATCATCAAGCATCTACTAGGCATCTACTATGTTCCAAGCACAACACCTACACTGCATCAATTCATAGAGGTCTCCTCAGTTTCCTTGGAAATTAGCTCTTTCCTCATTTCTTACAACACAATAGTATTCTGTTACATGAGTATATCATAACTTGTTCAGCCATTCCCCAACTGATGAGCATCCCCTTTAGTTTCCAGGTCTTCACCACTACAAAAAACCTGCTATAAATATCTTTGTACATATAGGATCTTTTCTTCTTTCTCTGATTTCTTTGGGAGCATAGGTCTACTCACGGTATCTCTGGGTCAGAAGGCAGATACAAGTTTAGTGACATTGGGCACATATTCCAAATTGCTTTGCATCATGCATCCAGGTTCTCAAAGGCTAGGTCAGTGTAATATAAACTATGTCAGGACATTATGAAGCTATAAAGCCTTCAGCTACATGCCAGGTGATGATCTGTGTTTGTCAAGCAAAGCCTAGCCTAAACAACTGGAAAGGGGCTTATTATCAGGAATCTGGTCTCTAGTTGATGACTTTTGTCAGCCGTAGCAATTCATGAAACCTATGGTCTGTATCGGTGGAAAGAGATCCCACGTTGATGAAATCATAGACCATTGAAGTATTAGGGAGGCAATGTGATTCAATGCAAAATATGCTGAATTTGGAGTCAGAGGACCTTGGCTCAATGCTTGCCTCTAATTATTGTGCGATCTTTGGCAAGTCACATAACCCCTCTGGGCCTCAGTTTCTTCCTTTGTAAAATCAGGAGATTGGACTAGATTATCAATGAAAATCTCTTCCAGTGTTGACTCTAGGATTTTTTAAAGAGAACTTTCAGACATACTGCCTGTGTACATTTTGGACTCACATTTTGTTGTAGTTCAGTCATTTTTTCAGTCATGTCCAATTCTTTTCTTTT